GGCTCCAGCTGCCGAATGAATGCAGCCCTCTATGTGGAGGAGCAGCCCGGGGGAGCTCGGTGGCCTGCATCGACGTGCTGCGCTACAAAATACCTTTTTTTTTTTTTTTTTCCTATTTTTTTCACCCATGTGTATTTTGGAAGTTCTCCATATGTCTGCTCTATAGTCTATCTGGAATACGGCATTTACATGTCTACAAAACTGTCCAAAAAGTTTGAAAGACATTTTTGTTTGCAGAGTTCTAATGGTAATTCCAATTTTACTATTAGCAGGCACAGCTGTTTGGTCTAGAAATGGAGGTCAAGCGTCATCATCTCCCAATTATGAAGGTCCCTTACACTCTTTGGTATGTTTTGATTAGTGACCTCCTCTGCCTCAGTATTTTACTTGCTGTTCTTTCCATTTCTCATCCATTCTCCTCACACAGGTTTTCATTTCGTTAGTGATCGCTATGCCCTCGGACTTGATTTTTACCACCTCTAAATTCGTAGCATGGGTGCCCCGTGCTCTATAGCTACGCGCTGCGGTTGGAGACGCTGCTGCTCGGCGTCTCCTGTTTGACAGGGGGGTGCGGTGTCGAAATCTGCTGAAGAGGGGAATGAGGACGACAGAAAGGAGGGGAGGGTGAGCAGGCAGGTGGAATAGATTTGAGGAGAAAAAGGGAGCAGAGAGCAGTGGTGACTGTCACGCAAGGATGGGGCGTCCGTCAGTCCCGTGGAGCGAGGGAGGGAGCGCGGCCGATGCGGCAGGGATGGTTGGGAGCCCTCTCCCCAGGAAAAGCTGAGCTCACCAGGCTGAGCCAGTCCTAAACTCTTGCGTGGCAGAGAGGGCTAAAGGGGCATGAGTAAGGTTTGTGACTGACGGAAAGACAAAGGAAGAGTTGGAGCTGGCCAAAAGCACGGTAGGGCAGAGGAGAACCCTCAAGTCCAACCTCCTCCGCTTCGCTCTTCTCAGTCGGTTGTCGGTCAGAAGCCAAGGGGGTTTCGCTAATGGGTGCCAAATGCCTGACGTGGTGTTGGGTGTACGACAAATAGCCCTAGCACTTAAAAAGTTTCCTTAAAAAAAAAAAACACAACCCAGCAATCAGCTAATTCCCAAGGGCGCGGTGGTTAACCCCCCCAGCACGGGGCGATGCAGCAGCCCCGTTGGCTTCCTCAGAAGTTGGCCAGAGATACAGAAATCCTTCCCATGACTGGCCACCGTGTTTTCTAGGCTGGCTGTCTTCTGGAAGTTTTTTAGTTATTTGGGGGTTTCGGAGAGCAACGGGTCGGTTAAGAGATGTGCTGGAGAGGTCCATAAGCGATGCCTAATTATTTTTGCAGCTCAGTGCTTGGGAGCTGTCACATTGAGCATCCCCCTTCCATGTCCAGGTTGGACGGGGCTCTGAGGAACCTGATCTATTAAAGATGTCCCTGCTCCCTGCAGGGGGGTTGGCCTAGATGACCTCTAAAGGTCCCTCCCAACCCAAACCATTCTATGATTCTACGTTTTATTAAAAGAGCAAAGACTTCAGGTGCCCAGGTCCGCACGTGGCTTGCGCTGGGGGTAGCCAGGGCCGGCGACGGGGCTTGGGGGAGGCAGGGCAGGGGTGTGGGGCCGGTGGGGGTTCTCGAAGGCACAACCCCCCCTCCCCCAGAGCTGTGGGCTTTTAGATGGTTGGAGAAGCAGAAGGCGAGGGCCCGTCCTTCCCGGGTGCTTGGTTGTAGGGACCCCGATGGGGTTGCAGCACGGGGGGTGCAGAGCACCCCTCGCCCCCCGGGACCGCCCCGGCCGCTGGGTGTTGCCGCGTTGCTCACCGGCCGCTCAGTTAGGGAAGGGTGCTTTTATTGCTGCTTTTACCAGTGATAAAAAGTGATTTCAGGGTGCACACCTGCAGGGACACATCCCAGCTGGCAGCGAGGGACTGTAGGACCTGGTAGCTTCTCTTCCTCTCTTTGTGTGTGATCCTGGGATTAGGTGGGGGGAGGAAGATCCCGGTCAGAGACTGATTACAATTAGAGGTATATTTGTTTCTTTACTTCTACTTCTTTTTTTTTTTTTTTTAATTTTTTTTTTATTTTTTTTTTTTTAAGTATCACTAAAACTTTTCAAAGACATAGAGGGCAACATATGTACTGTAATGATTATGTTCATGAGGAATCATTGAACCTGTTTTGCCCATGAAAATCAAAGCTGTACTCGTGTTAACCATGCTCTCTCCTTCCCCGCAACGCTACTCTAAACATTGCCCTAGGGAAACAAAACCGCTCCTTTCAAAAAAGGACAAAATAAAAAAAAAAAAAAAAAAAAAAAAAAAAAAAAAAAAAAAAAAAAAAAAAAAAAAAACAACAAAAAAAAAAAAAAAAAAAAAAA